TCCATATAGTGGTTCGGTAAATTTATTTTATAACTTTAACTATCTTTCAATACAGTGCTCATTTTCAGAATTTATCTTTAGTTATGTATCTCCTAAGTTCAGAACATCTTCCTTTAAAAATCAGGAATTGTTTTATACTCATTTCTTAAATATGGACTCTGACTTCTGGCATTTCTAGATAAATAATTATGTTACCAAACGCTGGAGATAATCTGATACAGAAACTAGTGTTTGTGTGTGTGTGCGAGTGTGTATTTCAAGGGTTTGTGTGTGTGTGTGTGTGTGTGTGTGTGTGTGTATTTCAAGGGTTTATTTCCATTAGAAAATAGATGTGGGAAATATGTATGTTAAGGTACCAAGTTTGGTTCTGTTCATCTTTGGCTTTTTCTTAATTTCCTGAGGTTCCCAGTTAGTTTAAATGTATTTGAAGACCACAGATGAATGAGATGATAGAATAATACCTTTTTTTTTAAGCAACACAATGTGATTATACATTGACTCTGGTTTGAGATTCTGATTTCTTATCTCATAGGCTCAAATGCCCCACTTTTCCCTTTGCATATCTCTATGAATTATTCTTTGGTCTTTATGCAAATATTGCATGCTAGCCATTTTATTTTGGCATGTATTTACTAGATAAATACTCAGTGCTACTCACTCAAAGGATACAATATTCAAGTGAACTCTGGATAACGTTTGGAATTCAGCTTGCCTGTCATGAGTATTTGTTTTAATATTTTACCTGTCCACTTCAAGATTTTGCCAACAACAATCCATTGTTGTCCCAAAAGCTACAGTTCTTGGTTGCATATGTCAGGGGTCCACATCCCTCTTTTCCAGCTAAGGGTGCTTTAATATGCTAAGTTAAACCCTGAAGCATAAGTATGGCAGCCCAGCACTCTTAACTACTAGGCTCCAGCAGGTGTTTGGAGGAGGACTCTTTAAGGGAGGTTGGAACATAGAGAGGTAGGTTTTGATTCTCACTTAACAGCCAGAGGGAAGGAGCAATGACCCAGGGGTAATGAAGTTTCCAAAAGATAGCAATGTCCTAGTCAAGTAAAGCTGGGACACCCAAAAAGTGGCCCTGGTAATGGTCTTTCTCTCAATCCACTGGGCCCAATGGGCTATCTGAGAATTTTTTAGGGTCAGGATTTAAAGTGAAAGAGCCTTTGGATCCTTCATCCCTCTTCACAGTACCATTAAGTCTTCCCTAGATTTCACACTTTTCTCCCTATTTTAGATTCTCTTTCCTTTATTTTCCCATAATAATCCACAAGAAATTTTCTAATAACCCATTAGATTGAGAATCCAAGCAACAATGAAAAATTGGTCTATTTTCTCCTGGAGGGTAAATAGGATGCAAGTGTTAGAAAGACAATACTTGACCTAGTAAGATATTCATTGAGGATGGAATGCAATACCCACATTTGAGGTTCAGTCAGTTGGCTTGTTAAATTAACAACAAGCTGGATTTCATATAAAATATAGGGTGAATATTCTATTCTTTGCAACATTTAAATAAAGGATACACCAAGCAATGCAAAATTATCAGAATGACCATTACTATACAAAATAAATTACTACAGTAAGTCCATTGCAATGACTAGACATAAAGTCCACTTATGTTTACTGTACACTCACTGGTGTCCTATTCAGATAACTTACTTTCTTTTACCCTTACAACAGTACTGTCAACTAGTTTATTTTATTTTAGACCTATTTTAAAGATGAGCAAACCAAAAGCTCAGAGACTATAAGTTGGCTCAATGTCAGACAGTTATCACCAAATGCTGCTAAAAACACTGCTAGAATTTCAATTTTAACTCCGTTTTTCTGGCTTGTGGTTAGTGCCCCTTCTATTTTGCCACACTAAAAATGTTCTTGTGCTTGTGGAGTCTCTGATATCAGGACTTTGTTTACTCTCTAGATTCCTCATTTTATATACATACATTTGTATTTTAAAATGACATGAGATAGTATATTATAATCAAATCACATGACTGATGAGCCACAAATGTGTCAGATATGTTGGGCTTATTCCTGCTCCACATTCCTTTTCTTGCTATAAATAGGAAGAAGTTTGATTTCACTTTTATTCTCCTAAATCACAGCTTCCTAACCTTGGAGTTATTAACATTTTGGACTGTATAATTCTCTGTTGTGGGAACCTGTCCTGTACATTGCAGAATGCTCACCAGCATCCCTGGTCTCAACCTAATAGGGGCCAGTAGCTCCACCCACTGTAACAATAAAAAACAACTCCATAATCGCTGCCAAATATCCTCTGGGAAGCAAAATTGTTCCCAGTTGAGAATGATTACTCTAAACTTAAAATGAAAGTAGTTAAATAAAAGTGTACTCTCTTTGCTCAGTTTCTTTCCTGAATATTTTATAGACTAAAAACAATTACTAATTTAGAGTTTGTATTAGTCAGAACAAGTCAGGTTATGCAATGGTAACAAACAATGCCAAAGTCGGCTCAGCAGATCAAGCATGAGCTCTCCGGGGCAGCTGTCCGGCTTGAGGGAGCTTAACATTTGGGCTTCTTTAAACGGCTAGCAGCTCAGCATCCATATGTGCTTTCATGGTCATTGCCTCAGGGAAAGACAGACAGTGGAGAAGTATGCCTAAGGCCTTAAATATGTCCCTATAGAAGTGACACATGTCACTTCAGCTCACCTTTTATTGGCAAAAGCAAGTCACATGGCCATGTCTCACATCATGGTGGGGAGGAAGTTTAGTCCTCCATGCTTGAAGGGAGATACTGGGAACACTGCTGAGCATTAATGCTGTCATCCATCATCATCTGATAGCTGTAGTCTGAGTGTCCTAAATGAACCTGGTAAAGTTCTAGGTGACATGGTTCAAGTAGTTTGGAATAGAGAATTTACACTTTAGGTCTGGAGAGAATGTCTATGTGTAAAGTACTCAGTGAACAAGACAATATATACAATGGGTTATAATAATGCACATTAAATTTTTGTAATAATTTGGAAAATGTTTACATTTTTATATGTTCATTTTATAATTTTAAGTCTTCCAGATAAAGAGCTGGTGTATCTTTTGGGTTCTGGGACCCAGTTCCAATGGGTGGGGGGTAAGGACTCCCTCACACATCCAAGCAGTTCTCCAGATACCCGCTTCATGTCCCACAGTCCAACTGAAGTCCGTCACTGCCTACCCGGAGACAGAAGCAGGTCCCAAGGGTTAGGGGTTTGGTCCCACAAGACGGCCCCTCCCTCCTGCCCAGCTTCAGGTGCCAGTCGCAGGTCCAGGCTGTCACTGGTGCTTCTGGTCGACTGGCTACATATGGGAGATTCCCAAGACCCCCTCCTTCCTTGAGTTCTATTCATTTTCTGGAGTGGCTCACAGAACTCAGAGAAACAATTTCCTTAGCAGGTCATGAGTTCATTATGAAAGGGTATATTATAATTCAGGAGCCACGAGGTGGAAGAGATGAGTGGGGCAAGGTGTGGGGAAAGGGCACAGAGCAACCACTCTTCCCAGTCTGTTCACCACCCCACAGGCTCTCAGAAGGCCCCCCTTTTGGGCTTTTGTGGAGGCTTTGTTACCCAGGCAGGAGTGGTTAAATCATTAGCCTCTGGTAACTAATTCAATGTTCATTCCTTGTCCCCTCCACTGGAAGTTCCAACCCTCTAATCAATGTGGTTGGGTCTCCTGGCAATCAACCCCCATCCTTAGGTGTTCTCTGAAAGTCACCTCATTAATATAACAAGAGATGCCTTTGTAACTCAGCACTTGGGAAAGGGAAATTTCTAGGGTTTTAGGTGTTGTGTGTTTAGGGGAAGAAGACCAAATATGTACTTCATATTATAAATCATAATATCACATGTGTCCTTCTATTTATTGGTTGTCGTGTATTTAATGTCCTCCAATAGAATTTTGTAGTGCTTTCTGGTTAGGTGTATTCCTGTATATATTTTAACTTTTTATTATTTTTGAGTGAGATTCCCTCCACCCCCTGCTTCATTTCTGTCTGACTATTGCTAGTAGAGAGCAAAGCTGCTTGATTTTTCTATATTTCCCTTCATCCAGATATCTTAATGTTAATATTTTAATACTTTGCATGGTTTTTGTATTTGAATCTCTTGGGAGCCCGTTTTTCAGATTTGCTCCCTGAATTAGGATATTTAAATAATCATACTTCAAAAACTAATGATAATGTTTTCTCTTTTTTAAGGGTAGTTCTAATTCCTTCTACTTACCCTGTAGCATTAGATGGAACATATAGAACAACATCGGGTACTAATGGAAGTAATCTTTACTTTGATTTTATTTAAAATAAGATTGTTGTTTATTTCTGGTATTCAGCATGTTTAAATGGTCTCATATGACTTGAAATTTTTATATAGAGTTTTAAATAAGAATGATTGTTGAATTTTAGCCAGTGGTTTCCAGATTTTATTGGTCTAATTATGGGAGTTGGCCTTTCATTTGTATGTATTTGAAACACATTGATGGGTTTCCTGATGTTGAACCATATATACATTCATGGAGTAAGTAAACTTGGTAGACTTAGTTTTATAGAGGGTCCAGCACAAATAACTTCCCTTTTTCATAACAAAATCTTTTATTACAAAATTGTACACATGTAATTCTATAATATAACAATGTCACACTTACAGTATGTGACATCATGGGTGCAGTGTTCAAATTAAAACTACAAATCATTGCATTCATACAATTACCCTACCAGCCACGCTCCAACAGGCCTTCCTTCTGCTGGACCCTGTATATTACTAGATTTGGTTTGCTAATGCTGTTTTCTGGCATTCCAGCTAATTGGATTATTTGTTTCCCCCAAAACTACATTACCAGTATTTATTTCTTTCAATAACAGTATTGGTTCTCATAGTCTTATATCCGTTCCTTTGCCAGATTTAAAGGTTATTTGCAGTTTAATACTACATTCTATGCAGCTCCTCCAATCTCATATCTTAACAACATTAGTAACAGTTGAATCCATATGTTCTCATTAGAATTCTACCGAATCTCTGGCTGGGTAGCTGCCCTCGTCAAGTGGAACACGTGACCATCAAACTGAAGCACGAATTGGGTGTCACGGCTGTGATGAACTTCCAGACCGAGTGGGATATTGTGCAGAATTCCTCAGGCTGTAACCGCTACCCCGAACCCATGTCTCCAGACACTATGATGAAGCTGTACAAGGAGGAAGGCTTGGCCTACATCTGGATGCCGACGCCGGATATGAGCACCACAGGTGAGCATCCAGCTCCCTCTGGCTCCCTGTGAGATGTGTTTCAGAGAAGCCCTCACCTGTCTGCCTGTCTGTCTGTCTGCCTGTCTGCGGGCCTACCTTTCTGTCTATAACTGATTAACCTAAATATGAATGATAGAAATGGAATTTTAAAAAAGGACTTAGGTTTAATACATGTCTTTTGACACTTAGCTAAGTTTCTGTTTAGCATGGGTCCTTTGATTCACTGACTCATTAAATATGTATTTATTGTGTAGCTACCACATATGTGGCATTATGCTGGTGGCATTATGCTGGTGGCCAGGAACACGGTGGAGAAGAGAGGCAGGCCAACTCCTGTCCTCACAGAGCTTATCGTCCCATAGGCATGACAAGCATTAAACGACCACAAATAAAAGTTACCCGCTGGGCTGGGTTTTTGCGGCCTTGTTAGAAAGATGCAGAGATGTTGGTAGGAGGGCATGCGCAGACCACAGATCTAGGAAGGGGTCAGGGAACGTGTTCCGGGGGGCAGTGTTGGACTAGGGTCTGAAGAGCCAGGTGGGGTTGGGGGCGAGGCTTGCAGGCAGAGGAGCTGCTTTGGAGGGTTCCCTGTGGCAGGAGAGCAGAGTAGGCACCGAAAACGGGCCTCGTGGCCTCGGATCAGAGGGTCGGGAAGTGAGTCCTGCGGGGACTCGGGCACAATAAGGACTTCAGACTTTACCCTAAAGTGATGAGAAGCGGCAGAAAGAGCTGGGGGCTGAGAGATGCCAAAATAACCCTTTTCTTCTCCCCTAGATAGAGGATGGACGGGGGTGGGCCTGGAGTGGGTCCGAGGACGCAGTCGGGAGGTTAGTGCCACATTCGAGTGAGAGGTCATGAGGGAGAGACTGCAGTGCAGGGAAGGGCGGTGATCGTGCAGCTGCATTTATTGCTCAGGTGTCAGCTGAGCCTGCCTTAGTGAGGAGGAGAAAGTCAGGGTGTGATGGGGGCGCTGCCCGGGAAACAGCCAAGTGGGCCATAGTTTTGATCTAATGGTCAAGGGAAACAAGCAGGCTCTGAACTGCCTACAGCACAGAAAAGAACGTGAGGGGAGGGGTGCCTCCTGTGCTCTGGGGGAGTTGCACCCGAGGGCCCCTTTGTATGGAGAACAGGCAAGAGGCATTTGCATTTGCATTTGAGGTGGGCATGACAGGTCATTGCCAAGTGGAAAAAAGCATAGGCCAAGGCACAGAGGCATGGGATGTTAGAGGAATGATCTATACTTCAGCCTGGTTGTATTGTAGAATAAGGTTCTTGTAGGAAAGGAATGGAGCTGTTTAGAGTCAAGAAAACCAAGTTACGCTGGTAATATCAACTTGTTGTCAGCAGGGGGCAGCAGAGAGCTATGAAAATGGTAGAGGCTAAGGGAGTTTGGTCAACACTGTTTTGGGGAAAAGAAGAAAGGCTGTGATGTTTGGGGAGGAAACGTTTCTGTCAACAACCCTCTTCCCCCTAAAATACATTATGTATTTATCAGACACTGTTCTAAGCAGTTGCATGCATTAACTAATTTAATCCTCACAACAAGAGTCTGGACCGATGTTGTCATCTCCGTTTTGCAGAGGAGGAGGCTGAGGTACAGAAAACCTGAGTAACCTGGTCAGTGTAGACTAGAGAGACCCAGCCTGGATTTCACAGCAGACGGGCTGACTCAGCATTGCTCCAAGACGCAGTACCTGCTCACACGAACTCCTCACGCACATTCTGCAGGCCATGGCACTTCCAACCTGTCGTTTTCATCTTTTGCTAGAATTAGGCAAAGTTATGAGTTGCCAGGCAGGTAGCTTAGTCCCCCCTGAGTCAATATAATCAGGGCATTGGTCAGGACAGAAGACCTTGGAAAGCACAGGTCGCCTGGGCCTGGGCTGCATGGGCCCTTCATGAACCTCAGATGGCCCTCCTGGCCGGGCTGGCCCCCTCGGTGGGTCCGTGTGGGAGCCGCACTCTCCCTGGGGATGACGTATCCCTTTTGCTCCTTGAGGACAGTTTGGGTGCTTCCCTTGGTAACCGCTGATCCAGAGGAGCTTGGTTTAGCCACATGGGCTTTGTCTGTTTTCCAAGGGAGGGGGAAAAAAAGAAAACTTCATTGGCACAGAGCAGTACCAGTCGAATCAGGGTCATACTTGTCCTGTCCAGCTAGTTCCTCTGGTTTCAAAGCAGAGGAACTGGTTAGGGAGCAGCATTGCCTGCGTCTCTCGGCTTCCTTGGCTCTGGCTTATTACCACTGCCATCCCTTCGGAATAGGGTGCGAGACGGGGCTCAGCAACGCTGAGATGCACTTGGCACGCATCCCACTCCGGCCCATGCTGAGGACCCTGGAATCTGCATGCTCATTCCCCACACCCACGGGAGTCATGGTAAAGCCTTTTCCGGGGGGGGGGTAGGGGGTCCTGTCTCTGCGAAGGGAGAATTATGATCTGACATGGGTGCTGCCGGGGAAGCGGAGACAGATAAGATCGTTCCACGAGGACGGGGTCCTGGTCACAACAGTGGAGCACCTGCCCCCGCGACTGCGTGAAATGACAGCAGAATGAAAGCTCCCACTGACAAAGACCAAACCCCAACTGCATGAAGGGTTTCTCGAGTTCAGCCTACACGGGGCTGGGCGGGGGGTAGGCAAAGGGTTAATGGCCATTTTGGAGTCCCCGAGGAATTTTTGACCGATAGATCCATCTCTTCGGCTCACAATATCAGCACAGTAAACATATAGATTAACTCTGCGGGATATTTTTAGAATGCTGGAGAAGAGTCCATCTGGAAGAGTTTTGTCTGAGAAGGAAGACAGCTGGTGAGGGGGGCTGGCCCCACGGGCTGTCACGCACCTGTTTCGATCTTCGTGCCATCGACCCTCAGTCTGTACATTTTGTCATAGGCGAGGGGCTCAGTCAGGTCTTCCTTTTTTCTTTTTTAAAGTATTTTGGTTTGTGTCTTTCACCTAAGAAACAACAGGTTCCCAAATCTGGCATTCGCCTGTGGAAAACCAATGTGCTCACCAAGATCCAGTTAGGAAGGACCCCGGTGGGGCTCTGGCCCCGTCAGGGCAGCCCCGGGATGAGGAAGGGGCTAGTGGGCCGCCCGGTCCCCAGCTGCCCCTTGTGTCCCCTTGTGTCTCCCCAGCTGGCCCTTGAGTTCTTTGCTCTGACCCAACGCCCTGGGTCCAGCTCTGCTGTGAGGCGAGCACACTGACCTCGGAGCCACGGCACCGAGGCGCAAGCCTTGCCACTGCTGCGTGGCTGTGTGATATTGCACTTGGAAAGTGGGGTAATGATTTCTGCCTTACAGGATTACAACAGTAGGAAAAGATGACGGATATGAATGTGCTTTGAAAATGACAACGTCGGGACTGAATTATTAGTCCCAATTCCTATAACATCCTACCAAAGGATATTATAGATGATACGAACCTTATCTGCATTACAATGCAAAGGTGAGAAAGAAGATATACTGAGATAGAACAGTAATATATTTGGCATAAATCTGTCCTTGGATTAAGAAGGGAAAGATATGTGTGTGCATATGTATGTGTGTTGGAAAGCCTGAAAATCGTGCCAGGAATGATTTAATTCAGGGCCAGCCCCAGCTAAACCCTGGGTGCCTTCAGGGCCCCCCACTTGTTTGGGGCCCTCAGATCTCAGGCCGCCCAGCTCACCCTTGTGCCCCTTCTCCCCGCCTTTGTGTGGTTCCAGGAGGCTCTCAGTCATCGCGGAGTTGGATTGGCCGAGAGGAGGTGCGGCCGGAAGTCAGATCCAAGGGCGTCTGGCAGTGTCTCGGGTCAAGTCGGGATTATTGGGCTTCGTTTTATGTTGTTTTAAATCGTGCCTTTGGGCATCTAGTGAGAGCCAGGGCCTGCTGTGAGTTCCAAAGGGAGAATCACAGGTGGTGGAGTGTTTTGTTGGCCGGCGCAGGGTTTCAGATTCTCAACTCGGTTGCCAACATTTAAAATTTAGACTATTTTACATTAAAAATGTGCATTTCTGACTTGCCTTTAGGGGTAATTGTTTTTAAGAATAAAGACTTTTTACCAAATTAAATTCTATATGGATCCAAAATATACAAAACAAATATCAGGGGCCCTGGTTGACACTGGCTTCTCTGTGCGAGCCCTGATCCTGGGGACCCCTTTCTATCCCCCGGTGGGTTACCTATCATTAGCTGAGGCTCTCTGGAACAGTCTGCAGCAGAGGGACGCAGGCGAGTTGGGCACACATGGCACCTCCAGGCTAGGGGCAGAGGTGTGTAGCCCCAGGCCGGACGTGGCCCTCCCACAGGGCTGAAAGCATGTGACCAGGCAGGCGGGGAGCAGGGGCTGATGGGAAGATCAGGTTTACGGCACCGGGGGCCAGCCAGCACCACCGATCAGGCAGGTGAGGGAAGGACAGCAGCGCAGAGGTTCAGACCAGAGGCTGTGGCATCTGGCTGGGTGTGAGTGGCCATGAGGGAATGACCTTGAGAAGACCTCTGAGCCTCAGTTTCCTCAGACATCCTGGAGGATAATTATAGTACCAAGCTCCTTGTTGCCAGGAGGTGGCTGTCAAGGAGCTCCCCCATGCTCAGTGCTTAGAACAGCACATGGCTTGTCAAAAGGCAGCAGGAGCTGTCATCCAAGCAGGTGACATGCCGTCCCTGGAGATCACACTGAACGAGGTCTCCAGGGGAGGCCAGGCCAAGATGGGTGGGCATCTTGGACCCACTACTTGTGTGGTGCTCCTTTCTACTGTTTGTTCTTCTTTATGTCATCTGAGTATTTGCTCGACAGTTCTTAAGTAGGGGGGGGGGGCTGAGTGGTTTGGGAAGAAGCCCACTGGTGTGTGAAACCTGTGTTAAAACTGGGAACCTTGTGGGGTCACATGCAGGATCACGTGTCTCAGGTCATAGAACCTCAGAGTAACATGTATCCGTTTTCAACTTCTAAACACATATCCATTTTCAACAGTTTCACCTTCTAGGCTCTTTGCGTGCAGCTGGGAGAATCTTTCACAGATGCAAAGGAAAAGGGCTGATATCGCATCGTTTGGCCATTTGGCGCAGACCCTTCCTTGGGGGACCTCTGGCCAGAGAGACTGTCGGCAGGGACCCTGATGGGTCCGTGCAGTCCCTGGCTCCGGCAGGCCAGCCACCCTGATGGCGCAGGAGCCGAGCTAGGAATCCGACTTCAGCAGCTCCTCCTGCCAACGGCCTCTATGCTCTCTTTCTATATTTGGCCTTTAATAAAAACCCACATAAACATATGGCTATTTCCTGGCAGTGTGCATGGTAGCTGGAGAGGTGGTCATAAACGGGGAACTTGTCAAGTGGTGCATTAGGGAGGAGCAGGAAGAACCCAAGCTTCCTGGACCCATCACAGGGAGTTCCTTTCCCCGCACCATTGCTCGGGGTAAACCTCTAACACCCGTTCACTGCAACCAAAACCCTGAACTTGAGCCAGCCTCACCTTATCAGCAGGCTGCACAGACATGTCTTGGAGGTTTTGCTTCCCCTTGTCACCCAGTTCAAATAGTGGATCAACTACACAATACTCTCTCTCCTGAGACACACAGTGAGACATCTCTGTGGTACCTACAATGTTCTCACCTCATTACATCTCCAGTGACATTTTCCTGCCTCGGGTAGAGTGCCAAAAATGACTGACTGTATGGTGGGCCCCCCCCCAGATCTAACCTGGGAGCACCTCCCAACCCAGCACAGAGGTGTCAGCCGGTCAGAGTTATGGCTCAGTGTGGACTCGCAGAAATTACCCAACAAGTTAGAGCTGGCGTGTCTCCAATTCAGATGCTCTTGGGGACCAGGCAGGTCACGCTAAGAGAGCTGGGGCCCTGGGGGCAGTGAAGTGGGCCCTGCCTGAGGGGGTCCCAGTTACAGACGTCTCTAAACTGCTCTTGAGATCCTGTAGCAACAGCGATCAGCAGAGCACTGGCAGCAAAATTAGAGCATCGTCCTGGTTTCATGTAGACTTTCTGCTGCGGGATGGAATGGGGACTGAGAGGGCGCTCAGGCCACGAGGAGGTCCTTGGTAACACCTGTCCTCGGGTGCCCACTCCTGGCCACAGTGTGTTGTGTCGGCCCCTGAGGGGCCCTTGCACTCTAAAAGAGGATAGCTAAGGAGGGAAGTCCAAACTTGCCTGAGTGGTGCTCCTGGGAGGATTCTGGGCCCAGTGAAATCACTGGGGGGAGGGCCTCTTCGTTCCTCCAGGGGCTGGCAGCGCGGGGGCCGTGGCCTCAGATGGGTGCCCCACGTCACATCTCTGTGTGGTTGAGGACAGAGAGTGGCTTGGGATTGTCGAGTCCTAGGCACAGAGTTTTAGTCCAGGCCTCTGTGTAGTTTCCCTGTTTCATCCCTTTTCGAAGTAACAGACTGTTCTCCAGCGCTCCCCCAATTCCAATAAATGTCTTCAACGGAGAACCTGGAGGCAGCAGAAACTGCAGGCGTCCAGGAGTTTGATGGTTTTCGGGGGGATCTCTTACCACAGGCCTCGGCAGAGCCTGTGTATCCTCTCTCAGTATGACGAGGAGATACCTTAATTATCTCATAACTGAAAAAGGAATCACAAAACTGCAATAACTGCCCAGTAAAGGAGAAACTGCATCAGTTGTAATACCCACTGCGTCATGAGGGAATAAATGAACAGTGTATCAGTTAATAAGCTCGTCATTCAATTGGACAGATGAGAACTGGCAGCATGTGTTGAATGGATGAGATTGACTTCTTTCATCAAGACCCAGTACTTCGGTTGTACCTTTGCCTGGAAGACCCTTTTGGATTAAAGGAAACTGAGGTGACAGGACCTGTCGGGCTCTGTGAAACCCTCCAAACCCCTGCCCGATCTGTATGCACAGACAGGGGTGAAAACCGCTCATCTGACGACAGGCCAAAGCGAACTTTTCTTCGAAGGGAAATGACTCTGGAGTCCCGCAGAGGGGCAGCCAAATCAGCGGCAGTTCCGAGCGGACCCGTTCCCTCTGGGGGCCCTTCCCTCTCTGTCATCAGCAGGAGTTGGCATTGTCTCACCTTCCCCTTCGAGAAAGTATCACCCCGCCTCGCCCGGCAGGGCACTGTGACTTCCCAGGGTGCTGCAGTGGTTGTTATTAGCGGCGATATTGTGCGTGCTACTCACGCGTCTGTGCTTTCTCCGTCCCAGGCCGGGTTCAGATGCTGCCCCAGGCGGTCTGCCTCCTGCACGCGCTGCTCGAGAACGGACACACCGTGTACGTCCACTGCAACGCGGGGGTCGGCCGGTCCACCGCGGCCGTGTGCGGCTGGCTCCACTACGTGGCGGGCTGGAAGCTGAGGAAGGTGCAGTACTTCGTCGTGGCCAAAAGGCCGGCCGTGTACATCGATGAGGACGCCTTGGCCCGGGCCCAAGAAGACTTTTTTCGGAAATTTGGGAAGGTGCATTCTTCCATTTGCAGTGTGTAGGTGGCCGGTCTGCCCGCCCTCTCTCCCAGTCCCCCGTGGAAGCACGGAGCGGTGGCAGTTCAAGAGCCTAGAAACAAAGATTCCACTCGAAGAGACAGGCCGCTGGCTTCTCCCCCAACCCACCTCTTTTAGTCTGGGGCTGACTTTCTCTTATGCTTTGGTTGAGCTGTATCATCTTTGAAACATTTCACAAAGGAAGCTGTGACTGACACAGGAGAAAAGGCCACAGGCATCTGGGCCGTGCACTGCAGTTGTAGCATCAGACAGAGGGAATGTGTGCAGTTCCCGCCCCCGGCCGTGCTGACGCTGTTTGTTGTGTTGTGAATTCACTGCTGCCATTTCTTGCTGCGGAAAGTGGCACGCAGAAAAAAAGATAGGGCGTTAAGTAGATGTCATCACTTGTATGTGTGCGTGCACACACACCCGCACCCACCCACCCCCGCACACAAACACACACACACAAACATTTTCTACTGAAATGGTAAAATGAGAGCTGGTCAATTGCCAAATAAGGACACAAGGGTAGAAGCCTGGACTATGACAAATGAAGACCTCAGTGTGACCAAAATCGGTGGCTTTCTAGTCCTTGATTTTGCATCCTGCTTCAAAGTCTGTTCCACAGCATCACCTTCCTGATCCAGCCATGACCCCATGTAACATCCAAAGTAGAGTTAGTGTCTCTCCCTTTGTTTTAATTGAGGTTCAGTGAACACAGACAGGTTGCTTAAGGGTTCAATGCTATTTAAGAATGAGCTGGAGATTTTTTGACTCAGTGCTTCTTCAACACAGCTTGTTCTGCCAGCAAACGCTAGCGAACTCACTTTCTCTGTTACAGAGTCAGGTTGCTGTTTCTGCAGCAGTTCTTACCATGAGAAATGGAACAGCAATCTGATCAGTTGCCAAAGAATTCAGGAGAGTTCTTATATTTTGTATGACCTGCTTTAAGACCTGGTGGGCTGTCTCAAGGCCAAGTGCACTGAGCCATAGTTCACAAGAGGAGCTGCATGGGTGGGGCGAAAGTAGGTTTATGGTGCAAGTACGTGAAACAAGTTTATTCCTGTTTCGTTATTTATTAATTATTGTGTTAGTTTCCATATGAACAACTGTAAACCTACTGGGCCTCATGCTGTATTACCGACAGATCTCCCAGAGCCCAGACGCATAGCTCGTGGCTGCACAGCTGGGGAGCCGTCCTGGTCCGCACTCAGGGTAGCCCCATGACAATACACAGTGCACCGTCACTGTGCCTCCAGGAAGTGCAGCCCACGGCCTCTCCCTAGATCCTGCTGGCAACTCAAAGACAAATGAGAACGAGACTTTGCCCGTGAAAGCTCGTAGCCTAGGAACAGCCCGTGTTCCATTTGGTACCACATAGGATTGAACCGTGGATGCCATACCAGGTATTGGGTGCGTCTTATGTGCTAGGAGCTTTGCCACCTTATCCCTTTTAATCTTCGCAGTGCCCATGAGGGAGGCCTTGTCCTCTCCACTATACAGACGAGGTAAGTAAGGCCCAGAGAGGTTAAAGCAACTGGGTAGGACAACATGGGAAATAAACAGAGGAAATGAGATACACATCTAGGTTTGTCTGAGTCAAAGCCTATACTGTTCCTACTAAACTGTAATTCTCATTTAGTTTTCTTTCGTAAATGTTAATTGATAGCTATGAGGCAGTCTGGTTTGGGAAGGGTGGGAATGAGAGGGATGCCAGGTGAGACCCAGTGGCGTTCAGAGGAGGGAAGGGAGCTTTGTAACCGTGGGCCTCAGGGGAGAGGGCGTCTGGTTTGGCAGGGAAGGTCGGACAAGGCACATTTCTCCTATAGTTTTACAAAGTTAGATTTGTAAGCCAAGATGGAATAATATGAAGTCCAGCTCCCTTGCTAGAAAGACTAGAGGTAACTATTGTAAAAAAAAGTCACCCCTTTATGGTCATAATGCATTGTGTAAAATTTAATCTTAAAAACAAAGTATTTCTAACTAATTGTATATTTGTGTGTGAATTTCCTTAATGTCTATGAAATCCAATTATGTAATTTTCACTAAAGGAAAATCCTTTTTGAATGAAATTTTTTTGTTGTTCTGATAGGCAAAATTATTTTAGGGCTAATAAAGAATGTTTTGGAATAACTTCCCTTTTCTTCAGTGGTTGGATTGTCTGGTGTATTTCAAAATCACCTGTAATTTCTCCTCAATAAAAGAATTGAAATGACCTTTGTATATAGAATTTTTTTAAAGGTATGAATTTTGTTTGCATTCAAAAGAGCAAACTGCCTTTTCCCATTTGTCGTCTAGTTTATTCCTTTATTTTTCAAAGGAACAAACTCAGGCCCAGACTCAGCAAATGACTCTTTGTGCAGCAAAGAGTTTCCGTTGAGGGTCGGAGGAGAGGGATGCGCCGGGAGGATGGAGGACCGGCAGATGTGTTTCGGTGTCGGGGAGTCTCCGGAGAGCTCACGGGAATGAGAGGAGACGGTGTCATTACGGGAAAGAGTTGGTGGAAGGAGTCACTGGAAATTGGAGGAAGTGGAAGAAAAACGGCTAAAATGAGGAAAAGCAAAGAAAAATGCAATTTCCAAAAGAAGAAATTTCCTTTCCTTTTACGAAGGTGTTTCCTTTTACGAAGATGCTGTTGGAAGGGCTGGGAAGGAAGGTGTGACTGCAGTGGCAGAGGCAGAGAGTCAAGGTCATGTTCCCAGGACAGGAGGTCGTGCTAAATACTCACAGCAGTAGGAAAAGGACAGCTACGCGTGATGTGCTGACCAAACAGGAGGGTGTGCTGTGCAATAGCCTAGTGCCTGCTAGGAAAGAAAAGAAAATCTGATAGGAGATGGAACTAGCAATAAGGACTGACAAAGCTACCTCTCATTAAGATGGTAATAAAGGCAGAATAACAAGGGGAAGAGGAGGAACAACCGTGACAATGACTTTGCTCTTTCCTTCCTTAATCCGTTTCTCCCAATGCCTTTCCTAGTTCAGGTAAGGGACACATACTTCTGGTTGCTCAGGTTCCAAACCTCAGTGTCATTCTTATAGTAACTCCTTTCTTCCTTTCAGACATCATGTTTAATCTATCTGGAAAATCAGTCACCTCTTCTGTCAAAATGTCTGCAGTCCATGTTTTATCTCCCCCACAGAACAAGCCTGGTGAGATCCTGGTTAGGGATCTCTAGAGTGAACTTCAGAAATAGCCTCCTATCTGGTCCCCCCATTTCTGTCTGCCCCAAGCCCCTCCCCCCACACCCCTGTCCTCACCACTCTCCTGTCAGCTTTCACACTCTGGCCGGGGGGTCCTGTGGAAATGCATGGATCACGGTACTCCTGTGCTCAGAGCCTCCCGTGATGTGCCATGTCTCTCAGGGTGAAGGCCAAAGCCTTCAAGGACCTACACAACCTGGCCCTCTTGATGTCTGATCTCATCTCCTACTGCCCTCTGCCTTCCTCTGCCCCAGCCACAAGGGTCTTCTTGCACCTTGAGGATTCCAGGTGGGCTCCTATGTCAGGACACCAGCACCCGCTGCGCTGTGTGCTCGGAGGACTCTCTTCCAGGGCTGTACATGGCTCCCTCTGGGCCTGCTGCTGGGATGCCCTCCTGGACCACCCACCGAGATTCACCACGCCCAAACTCAGCCCTGCCTTTGCTCATTTTTTGCTTTATTTTCTTTCATGGGTCTTATTACTGGCCAATATATTACATAATTGTCTTATTTGTTTTATTGTCTGCATTCTCTCTCTACGATGTAAACTACATACAGGTAAAAATTTGTATCTGTTTTGTTTGGTGATATACCCAGAGGGCCATGGAGTCTGGCATGTAGTTCAGTGAGTGAAGGTCAAGAATAGCTAATAACTGTTGACAGCACACATGGTCCGTGGGCTGTTCTCTAAGGGCTTTGCATATATCAGATCATTTAATTTTCCCCACAAGACTAAGAAGTAGATATTATTATTATCCCGATTTTACAGGTAAGAAAACTAAAGGCATAGAAGAAACGTGAACTTATTTTAAGGCGAGGAAGAGTTTCACTCCTGGTTTGGTGGCGTAAGCTCCTATGAGCCACCCTGAATAAACTCCGGGCTCACCAAGTGTATTATTAGTTTGCTAGCCATAGAAATGTACCACGAACTGGCTGGCTTACACAGTAGACATTTATTGTTTCACAGTTCTGGAAGCAAGATCAGGCTATCAGCAGGGCTGATTCCTTCCGCGGGGTAGAAAGGGAAGCTGCTTAGGCCTCTCCCCTGGTTTCTGGTGGGTTCCCGGCAACGTTCGGCTTCCTTGGTCTGTGGAAGCACCACTGCCCTCTGCACTCACCTTCACTGGGCATTCTCCCCACGAGTGTGTGTGTTTGTGTGGGGGACGTCTACATTTCCCCTTTTTATAAGGATGCCAGTCACATTGGATTAGCAGGTCACCCTCTTTCAGAAGGACCTCATCTTAACTAATTACATATGCAAAGACCTATTTCTAAATAAGCTCACACTTGAAGGTAATGGAGGTTAGGATTTCAATACATGAATTTTGGGGGACACAATTTGAATCATACCACTACTGGAAACAACTACCTGAAGACTATGGAGGTGAAAAAAGCAGGCAGATATGAGAGTGGAAATTTGGAAAAAGGGACTAGACTGGGCTGAGTTTGCTATTTTTACAGATTTAGCCTGATGTCAGGCCACAGTCATGGTGTTGCTGAGACAGGTGAAACACTACAGAAAACATTCATCCTTGGGTCAGGAACCCAGAGTGCAACAAAATCAAACATTTCCCTTGTGATAGAGATTAGTTCAGGAAACAATATGTGATATCACATGGGCCCCTGAGATACACGAAAAGTTTCTGGGGGCTTCTGAGTAATGTTGTCACTGCCCCCGCTCCGGGAAATCCTGATTTTATTTTTTTAATTAAAAAAATCTTTATTGTATTATTTTTCCATTACCATTTAGTGCCCCGATACCCCCCCCCCAGCAATCACCAACTGCTGTCCATGTTCATGAGTCCTTTTCCCTTTTTGCTCCATCTTCCACCCTGTAGCTCCTCTCCTGCAACTCGCTGTCATCCTGCCCTCCACCTGTGGGTCTGTCCCCATTCACTCTTATTAATTAAAGAACAACAGGAAGTGATGCTCCTTCTTCCTTGGGTTCCTGTTTTGTGTGGCTATGTCATCCAGACTCGTGGGACCGTCTTCCTAGCAGCCTGAGAATAAAGCCCACATGAAGTGACAGAGAAAAGAGAACTGAAGTTGTGGCTACTAGATAAGTTAGCCCTGAAGTCTGCTCAAGTTCTTGACCTCCAGTTGGGTGTGATGACGTATTTGTGTTCGAGCCAATTACAGTTGCTTTTTCTATTGCTCACAGTTGAAGGCAAAGCAGTTGGCACACTACCAATTATATAAGTACTAGTTTTAGTAATACAAATAGTATTTATTTTGTCATAATTTGTGGTACTAAAGTACATTCTTATGTCATTTAAGGAACTTACGTTTTTATATTTGCTTCTGCTGGAACAGTGCCAATAGTAGTTTCTCTACTGCTGAGCCTCAGAGGACAGTTCTTAACAGGAAGACGGAAGCTCTAGAATGATGATCTACAAATCAAAATTCCGTCACAGAGAAGGCAGCCTGTGGTGGATCTATTAGACTTCAGAACAGTTGTATTTGTGATTTCCCATTGCTGGCCTTAGAGCAGTGATTCTTACCTAGTTAACTGAAAGCCAACCCAAAGTGGGGATACTACAAACTGTCCATTTTTCTTGGCAATGAACATGTACACTTCAAAGAATTGCACATCTAGGTAATCTCCACGCCTTATGGGAGCCAGGTGATGTTAATATGTAGCCAAGTGGCTAGTGAAAATGAATGGATTGGGCTGATTTGAAGTTTATGATCCCCTTTTCCTACCTTTAGACAGAAATTGTACTGAGTATTATTAAAAATTTTTAAAGAAAAGAAACATAAAAAGGGTACATGAAGTAGAAGAAGCGGTAAAAATAATGAACTTCTCACAAACAGAATCCTTGGCCCCAAATATGTGAACTGGGATTTTACATTTTAAAAGTAGAATTCTCAAGTGGAAATTTGAAGGAGAGGCTTTAAGAGCTGATTCATATGACAATGTTCATTGTTTCTAGCTGTATACTTACAGACTTGGACCAAGTTTTTAATCTAATGAAACTTTTATTTAAAACTCTAACACAAAACACTTAAAAACATGCTTTGGTTTAAAATGAGCTATTTTCTCTCATGCGAGATAATTTAGAATTTGGTACAAATGTATATATTATTTGTCTTCTACTAAGCATCTTTTTATCACCTTCTAAAGATGTCCCTTTGATCGTTTTTGTTTGTCTTTGACTCCTTGGTATTAATTTGGTGCTGACATAAAACATGTAGGTAGCACATGTTATAGAAGGTATCGGGTAGGTAAGCTCTGGGCTCCTGTAGCTAGAGGATATGGCAGGGTATCCAAGAATCTGCCCAATGTGAGAAACACTGTAGGCTCAGATACATTCTGAAAGTTACCATTGGGCCCAAAAGACAGATAGAAACCCAAGAGCAAACTCCAGAGACAGCTGAAAATAGTCTGAGACTCAGAGAAAATGTAGGGCCATTCAAATAAAAGACAGGAGGAATTCCTGTACTGTAATTGTATCAGACATTATTATACCAATATAGCTAAAGGAAATTCTGCTTAGTGTTCAGTGAATAAGATCACCGTCATTTAAAACCTGAACTATGAACAACCACTATTAATGATCTGGCATAGCACTGGAACAGTACGGACTGCAAAGCAGAAACTCAGAAGAAGCTGGACAGTGAAGAACAAAGAGCTGGACCCAGAGCAGTGCAAAACAGACAATTGTCATTGTCATACCTGCAAGACTTTCATCGATTCCTAGGGAGAGACAACTCAGAACTCACAGAATGCAATTTAGTTTTTTAAATTTTATTTTCCATTATAGTTTACTATCAATATTACTTTGTATTAGTTTCAGGTCTATAGCATAGTGGCTAAACAATTATATAATTTACAGGGTATTCCTCCCCTGATATTTTCAGTACCCACCTGGCTGCATACATAGTTATTACAATACTATTGACTATATTCCCTATTCTGTACTTTATATCCCTGTGACTGTTCTGTAAGAATCAATTTGTACTTCTCAGTCCCTTCACCTTTTTCACCCAGTCCCCCAACTCCCTTCTCCTCTGG